CATGAAATCCCGTCATTAAGCCACAAAATCATGCATTCATACATTTTGTATTTCATATATTCATTACCCTTCATTTCTTTTTGTTTTCCTTATTCACATGATAAAAAAATAATAATTAAAGGTTTTTGGTAAAGTGTCCTAAAAATGAATACCAGAGGGAAACAACTTGTCCGCATCAATTCCATCAAGCCAGATATGACAAAAATCAAGGCTATAAAAGGGAAACCGTCTGAAAGAGATCTGAAGATGTTCACTTGCCGTTATGGGAATACCCTTGAATTAACAAAAGTAGATGTACAATTGGATGTTGTTTCTGTCCTAATTCAGTTTTACGACCCTCCATTGAGGTGCTTTACCTTCCAAGACTTTTAGCTAGCCCCGACTCTGGAAGAATTTGATATACTTTTGAATTTATCTAAAGGGAAATCTTATGTGGGAATCGGGCAGACTATCGATGTCAGAATCTTGGCAGAGGGTTTAAGGATCCCTTATCCCGAATTGTCACTTAATTACAAAAAAGAAGGTGATGAAAGAGGGATTAAGAGATGCTATTTGGAGACTAAGGCTCTTGATTTTCCCGATAACAAAAAATGGGAGTCTTGTGTTGATTGTTTAGGACTGCTTGTGTTTGGTGTAATCTTATTTCCATGAACTTTGGACTATATTGACCCTGCAACTATTAGCGTATTTTGGGGCACAAAAGTTTTCAATACGGACCTAACTCTCGCTTTACTTGTTGATATTTATTATACATTTCATACTCGGTACGAAAAGGGGAGGGTTACTCTAAATTGTTGCATCTCACTCTTGTATTCTTGGTTTATGACTCATCTCTATAAGGAAGATTACATGATTCTAAATCTGACAAGATATAAGTGACCTAAAAAATTAAGGTCTCTTACTGCTAGTTCTATATTGTGGTATGCGAGGAAGCTAGACATCAGAGATATCGTTTATAGTAGTGGAAACTTTCCAAGTGTTTCATTGATCGGATCACGAGTTTGCATCAATTACAACCCTACCTTAGGTCTATGACAACTAGGGTATCCTTTAGAGGATAAACCCTCATATGAACAACTTCGACAATTGATCATTCATGACATGGGTAAGAACGACCAAGAATTGCTCAACAAGATCATTCGAGCTTGGAATATGGTTAATAAAAGAAAGGCTAAAAGGAAGAATGTTCTGGCAAAAGAACCTTACACTCGATGGGTTTTGGATAGGGTGCAAGTTGTTAAGTTACCATTTGACATTGATCCTGAGTATAAGTCATATGTCCCAGATTCTACGCCAATGTACTTAAAAGAAATAGACAATTTGAAGGATGCCTTGAAACAAGCTCAAAGGGAGAAAGAAGAATTGGAGCTTAACCTCCATAATTTAACAAAGGAGAAAAGACAAATGCAACACATACTTGAATCGAAAGACCAACAAATTCAAAAAGATCGTGAGGCATTTGAGAAGGAGAGTCTTAAGCGGAAGCGTTCAACTGAAGGACTGTTAAGTGCCACTTTTAACTTGGATTCCCACAACCAACGGTTGGAGGATGCTGCTAGTGAAATCGGGAGATTAAATAGGTGGTATGAAAAGGCAATGCAAGACAAGAAGATGATGGAAGAATATTTGAGGGCTCAAATCCAAAGTTTGGTGCAAGCTTCTTTAGATCAAGAAGAACAAATGAAATATCTCACTACCAGACTCTGAGATAGCCAAGAATCCGAGGTAGGGGAACACCTCAAAAGGATGATGGCAGAAAGGATTCTCGCCCAAAAGACTGAAGAATATGAGCAAATGTGTCTTGAGGTAGAAGGCCTCCGAAAGAATTTCCTAATACAACGGAAACTCTATACGGAGATGAGGGCTGAAAAGTTATATTGGGAAGAGCAATATGTAAAGATCACCAAAGCAGGAGAGGATAATCAAAAGATAATTCTTGACCTCTATCAAGAGTACCAGTTCTACAAAGACAAGCATGCAAGACTCATCTTCTTAGCCAACAATCTTATAGGCGACATCCCTATGAGCTTAAGAGATATAGAAAATGTGATGGTTCCTCTCCCAAAAGATGTTGAAGACTTCCTCAAGCTTTGCAGGACAATGGTCGATGGTTTCAGAGGAGAAATCCACAGGCGCACTTAGAAGACATTTTGTTTCCCTTTGTTTATTTTCTTTCAGCAAGTTTAATATTTTAAGTTTGAATATTTTTCAATATCTTAATTGTATTCTTTTTTAAATACAATTACTTTTTTAATAAAGATATTTGTTTTCGTATCTCGTTTGCGTATTTATTTTTATGGTGATCACCAATAAAAAAGCAAAACCTAAAAAAAAATATTAAAAAATATACACAGTTAAGTTATATTAGTAGCTACAATTCGATTCGTTAAACTCTCTTTTCAATGTGAATGTAGTTTTTACAAATGTTGCATGCTCTATCTTAGAGGACTTTGAGAAAAACCAACAAAACAATAGCTTAGATTTGATGTTACCGTGCATAAAAGTAAATGTATGAGTCTTTTTATTTTTGGAACTGCTTATATATATATATATATATATATATATATATATATATATATATATATATATATATATATATATATATATATATATATATATATATATATATATATATATATATTGAAAAAGTTGTTATTGCTTTCAATAGCTGTAGGATTCAACAAATGTGTTTATCTGGCTTTGATAACGTATTATCTTTCATATAACAATACCATCAACTCACTTTTTGCCGGACTTATAAAGGAGAGGCTCTGAAGGCGTTGTGCATTCATTATGTGGACCATCCAGATGGATTAATAGTTGATGCCGAACTTGCTCACACATTATGCTCCTCAGAATAGATTTACCATTTGGACTTCATAGTCAATAGATCTAAAAACAGTTTTGAAGAGTTGATTCACTAATGGCAAAGCCGCCTTCCAGTGTCAACAAGCATGGGGACTAAATTCACTCAATACTCTATCAACTGCCTAATTTGGTCTTGCTTTCACTATCATGTCTTGAACCGATTTGTCATATTTGATGCGATTCAAATTATATTTATAAGAGTAAAAAATTAATAGTTTGAAATTTGTACACGCCAAACCTGCATTCACTTCACCATCCTACAATTATTCTTGGGTGAAAGTCAGTAAAAAAAACAAATTTTAAATGAGTTTAATATTAAATTCTACAATTGTGCAAGGTCCTACCTTACAAAGTCTGCTGTTTGTGGCACACATGGTGGTGAATATTTCATTATGCATATATAATAATGTTGAATATCCCAGTACTTAATAAAGGTAATTTTATAAATATAATATTTTATTTGTTTTTATTCATACACTTTTTTATGTGTTTTCTATTAGTTGATTCATTCATACACTTACTTGAATGAATATAAAATTATCAAATCGGTCGTTGTTATCAAATTTCTAAAAAAAAAGATCGTTCTACACCATTGCATTCATCCTTCAATATAGGACCATTGTTACATAACTATAACTATATCCGTGACATTTCATTTGTTAATATTAAACAATAATTTATTTGGTGGATTACTCACGATAAAATTTATTACTATTATTCTTATCATTTATTAATAATGATAATAATATTTATTAGTATTATTATTTATTACTATTATTTTATTATTATTTAATAATAATAATAATATATTATTATTATTATTAATAGTAATAATAAATTAATATTATTATTAATATTTAATTTAAGAGTTTTTGAAATTGAAAATTATGCACATTCATTTATTAATGTTATTCTTATTGTACTTAAATTTATATTTTTTAATTTTTGTTTTTACTACTAATAATATTTCTAATTATTAGTAAAAATTTATATTTATATAAGTAAAATATATTTTTCAAATTTTAAAATATTTATAATAATATTATACATTATTTTAATAAATGGACTAAGGACTATCGGTTTACTAATCATCACAGTATATTATTCATCCCTAAGTCAGAATTGCTATAAATATATATTTAGATTATTTTAATCCAATTTTATTCTTTTTTTTAATTCATTATAAAATTGATTTAAAATAATTTATATACTTTTCAGTATTTTGTGTGTCTTACAAATATTTTAGTTTTGTCAAGATTTAAAATGAATCTATTAAATTTATAGATTATTTTTTTAAATATGTGAAAAAGATTATCAATATTTATAATAAGAAAAGAGAGTACATATTTTAAAATTGTATTCTCTATTCTAAATTATTACTATACTATTTTTTATAAAGAGAAATAAATTACAAATATTTTTTACTAATAAGTTAAATTATAAGTTAAATTATAACTAACTCTATCTTTATGACAATAAAAGATAAACGAATGTATACGTTGTAATTTAAAATTTGTAGCGATAACAATCTATACATATTTAAAATCTAATACAAATAAAAATATAAAATAATTATAACGGATTCAAAATCTAATAAAAATATTAATAAAATAATTATAATAGATTGGACAGAAGAGATAACTATTGTACACGTGATTTTCAATTTTCAATTTTTATTTTAATTATTAAAAAATTTAATTGAAATACAAAAAATATAAATATTTTTGATAATTTTTGAAATATGAAACATACAGTAAAAATAAAGAAAAAAAACCAAACAATTTAAAATGAATTTTTTATTCAAAATAATCGCAAATCGCCTTAAAATTTAAAATCCCAAATATACCTTTACTATATTTTGAATTATCAGAGGGTTATTGATTCAATTGAAAGGACATGTTATTATTATAATATCATATCATATAAATTTGTGCAACTTTTATGATAAGATATTAACATTTTAATACTATAGATAATATAAATATTTATTTTTATAAAAAAATATGAGACAATTATGATGGGTGAATACCTACATTTTTTATGAAAATACATTGATTGTTTACTGGTAATTATAGATACCAGTACTCGTTATTTATTATTAATTTTATAAAAAATACTCTTCTATTCAATTTATGCTCATTTTATTCCATCTCGTCCCTTTGCAAAGTTTGAGTTCTCGTTCTTCCTTTTCGTTTAACCTAACACCCGCCACTGTAATTCAACAACACCGCTGGTTCGCATCTCTTCTTCACCATCCTTCTTCCTTCTACGGTAATTCTTCAGACTTCTCCGTACATATTTTTGTTTTATTTTTCAAAAAATCTTCATTGTAACAGGCGCGAAACTCCGCGCCGGCAGCTTCATGCGTCGTGTTCGCATCACCGTCGCCGCCTCCCCCTGCACCTCCGAGATCGCACTGATTTTATCCGCAATTAACAATTTAGGTTAGGTTTAGGTAGTTTGTTAGTAATTTTGAGATGGAAATAGGGGACTTTCGATATAGAGGTTGCAAACCCTAATGCTTCGAGTTTTATGTATCATTTTTGTTGCTCTGTTTTCTTTATCTTATTCTTTTCTTTATCTTATTCTGTATACATTATACGTGCTGGTTTTCAATCTCACAGGTATAAAGGTTTACGATCTTGAGACTGATCGATTTGTCCTATTGGAAGAAGCTTCGGAGCCTAGTGTTGGTAGAAACTTCTTGAAGAAAGTGGTTTTGGAGCATTTGGTACAAACGCCATTACAAGCCTGTCCCTATTTATGAGGACAATAACTCTGTTGAAGAACTTCTGAAGGTCTAAAAGTGCTGATTTTATTACCTTCTGATTTTGTTCTATTTTATCTTTATATTACACACTGGTTTTGTTTGGGTATTTCAATGTGGGAAGTAGGATGAATGGCATACTTTCACATATATGTTCCATATAAATTAGGATGTTGCGGTTGCTGTGTGGTAAGGCTAGACAGGATAAAATTAAAAATGAAAATATTAGAGAGTGTCGTGTAGCATCTAGTGGAGAAGATGGTGGAAAATAAACTTAGGTGGTTTGGGCATGTAGAGAGAAGACTGGTAGATTATGTACTAAGCAGGGCAGACTAGATGGAGAGAAGACAAACAATTAGAGGAAGATGATAACTTAAAAAGACTATAAGAGAAGTTATTAGAAAAGATCTCAAAATTAATGATTTTGATAGAAGTATGGTTTTTGATTGAACATTATGGGGAAAGTTGACCCATGTAGCTGACCCCACTTAGTGGGATAAGGCTTAGGTGTTGTTGTTGTAATGAATGCTTTTCTGCAAACCTTTTCATTTGAGGGAGCCTAGATAGAAAGTATAGGATGTCATTAATCATTGATGTATGTAGCATATGTTGTTTTGACAAGCATGAGTGCATGATTCTATCCTCCCTTGTGGACTAGAATGATTTTGGAAATTCATCGCTGTTTCATATGTCACTTAGAAGTTTGGTTTTCATTTTGATTCCTTCTTCAATTATGAGATAGAGTATTACTAAAAAGAATTGAAAGTACTTTTGCTGATACTGATAATAAGCATGCAGAATCTTAGACTACTAATGGTACACAGTTGTGATATTTAGATATTATGGCTCTAAAATTTGGATTTTTGTTCCACATGCTTCAAAGATCTACCGGCCAAAGATATCATAAAACAAATAAAGTATATTATCCTTGTGATTTTAACCTTTATAATTATAAATTACACAAGGAGACGGGGATTTGTTGTAGTTTATATGGCCTGATATAATTTTTAGTGTTGCGCTCTATTCATTCTTCCATAGTTGAGGTCTTTTTACCTAAATTTGATAAATATTGCTTGTATAATTATGATTTCGTTGCTTTTTAATAATCACTTGGCTTCATTATTTCATAAACCGAGTATTCATAATGCGTTCTTATCAACGCAAACTTTTTTATTGCTTAAACTTCAGGTGAGAAGTGAGGAAAAGGAACTTGGCGGCCGGGGAATGGTGATCTCAAGTAGCAATCCCCAATATAAGGAGATAGCCATCAGGAGGAGGATTGCTAGCATGTATAATTTTCTTTCCCATATTGTATCTTGTTTGCTTTGTATATGTGACACGAGAAGTAGTAGATGAATAATATGTTTGTCGAAGTTTCTACTCAAAAACATTCAATTTTTAGTAATACAATCCTGCAGAATTTGTTTGATAGATTATCTATTACACTTTGTTCTGGAGTTAAAACATAGTTAAAGTTGCACTAGTTAGCAAAATTTATGCATCCCAGAAACTGTTATAGCCTAGAATGTATATTTTGGGAAATATTGTTTCTATTTCAAAAACTTTAACTACGTGGGATTGGCATAAAATACAAAAACTTTTTCTTCTTCCTATTGTTGTCTGCAAGTCTCATCATTCATTTTGAGTTCATAACTTAAATAGATATAACATATTAAGAATTTTGGTTTTCTCATTATTTTGAAAGTCTGTTATATTTGAATCTTTTGTAGAAAAGAAGTATGTATCATATTCTAAACTCAGACTCTCACTTTTTGGGGTCCATGTTATATTGAATTTATAGATTCAATAAACGGGAAGATGATTTTACGACTTTGAAAGAGTACAATGATTACTTGGAGGAAGTTGAAGACATGAGTAAGTTTTTTTAGTTATGATGACATGCGTTGCACCCCATAATTTTTGCTTTATTTTGATGTAATTTCTCCTTTCCCCCCTGCAGCGTTTAACTTGGTTGAAGGAATAGATGTTGCTGCTATCGAAGAACATATTGCTAAATACCAAGAAGAAAATTCAGAACAAATAATGATTAATCGAGCCCGAAAGGTACTTCTAACAGTCTCTTCACCGGTTCAGTCTCTTCTATATCTGTTTTCTATCAATTTGTGATGTTAATGCTGCATGTAATATTTAAATAGGCTGAAGAATTAGCTGCAGCTATGGCAGCAATCAAGGCACAACCTGCCGAAATTGATAATGAGGTAAGTATTGGATAGTTATTTTTATATATTCGTTAAGATTACATTTTTGGCACAATATGTCAAATGCCTGAAGTTTGAGATTGAGTTCAATTCAACAATTTGAGTTTTTTTTTTTTTGTTTCAATATCTATTCTGAGCCGTCTATTTATTAAGCAAAGTAGCAAAATATAAATTTATGCGACAGATTTTAAACTTTGTTTATTCTGGAAACAGGATGCCATCCAAAATTCGCAAGCCGGGTTTGGTACTGTTCCTCAGGGGCAATATGCACCTACAATTGCAGGAGGACAACCTAGACCTACAGGCATGATGGGACCACAACCTTTACCTCTTGGTGGAAGTGACGGTGGCTACATAGTTGAGAACGAGGAAACATTTAGGCGGAGAGCAAGAGCTGGAGGGTGGAGTAAAGAAATATGCAGGAAGAGAGCTTTTGAAGAAGCTTTTGGAAGCATTTGGGTTTCATAGAGACACATTCTTAGAGACACATGGTCATTCTAATATTAATGCTGTAGATCGGTTCGACCTTGGGTCTTCTTTCTGGTCCGGTTTTTAAAGTTATGAATGAGTTAATGTTCAATCACCTCATAAGATTTTTAAAAAAATTCATTCCTAACTTAGAAAATGAGATTCTTACAATCAAATGAGATTCTTACAATCAAATGAGATTCTTACAAGTCTATTTAAAAAAGGGGATTGCTGATTGCATCCTTATCCTCAGAGGTGCTCATGCATTCCGATGAAAAATTAATAATGCTCCTAAAATTTGAAAATGCACTTTCGGACACTCTACACTTAAATACTTTGTAATGATTTTGTCAAAAATTAGTTTGGAAATACACTTCTAGAATAAATCTGGAAGTTTAATTCTATAGTAGACAGCAATCTTGCATCTGTGACACTGAAACTTCACTCTTAAGTCTGAATGAATGTCCAGAATATGTGATCTTAAGGGTACAAGGTCTCACATGCCCAGGAAGTAGTTAGCTCATGCAGAGGGAGGAATTATTTAAAGGTCAATTATCTTAAAGAAACAATTGAGCAATAAGAATGCTTAAGTTATAAAGATTATCACCATTGCAAATGAAGATGCAAATAACTACTATATTGTAGTCAAGCTTAACAAATTTTATACCCGTGATTGGTTGGGTTTGAATGATGTAGCTAAGCATATTTCAAAGATTCAATGATTCAACACATAAATAATGTAAAAACTTTGTAAATGTCAACATATTTCTGAATTTAATACGGAAGCATACTTTTGAACTATTTTTTGATAAAACAAGGGTGTCACTCAATTACAAAATGTAATGTATTTAAGGTGCATTAGAAAATGTACTTCTGAAGTTTTGAAAAGCATTTTCGAGTTTTTAATTACCGGTAGTTCTTCAACCAGTCACGGGTAGAAAGAGCAACCACTTAAAAACTCACTATTCTTATAATGGGCCATATACATATAGTCAATTATGGGAGGATTTAACTTGCACCCCAGTAATTATATTTGACACACCCACATATTGCATATTTTTACTGTTATATTCTTGTTTAAAGTTATCGAATTTTAAATAGTATGGGTTTTTATCATAAATTTTGAAAAATATTAGAAATTTTAAAATAAATCATAATTTTCATGAGTTTTTATTGGAAATTTCAAAACTACATTGGAAATTTTGAAAAAATACCGGAAATTTTGAAATTTCGATAAATAATCTTACAAGTTTTTATCAGAAATTTTGAAATATGAGTTTTTATCAGAAATTTCAAAATTTATAATAAAATTTATACCAACAATCTAAAAATTAACTATCAAAATTTTGATCTGTTATCAAATTTTTTGAATGAACAAACAAAAATTTCATTCGCATTTTTTTTAACTCAAATTTATTCATAAACAATTTAAAAATTTTAAAAATATACAAAATGCCAAATATAACTTGGAGTGCCAACTTAAATTCTCACATTTCTGTACACTTATATTAGGCTCACCACTTAATTAAAATAAAATTAATTATCACAATTTAAATTTAACACAAATAAAACTGAAAACTCTTCTAAAGAAAATTTCCTCATAATTAGCTCACTTTACGTCCTTATAATATCTCCAAACAATTATTAATAAAGTATACATAAAATAAATCAAACAACTTGAATCTTAAATTTGTTGTGCACAACACCCACTAAAAAAATAGTAAACTTATCTACAATTTTTTAGGTGCAGTTTTTATTATTTTTATTGAAAAATATGATAAGTATATTTAAATATTATTTAAGGAGTAAAAATAGAAAAAAAATTACACGTGTAAAAATAAATTATACATTTGTCATATTTTTATTGAAAAATAATAAAAATCGCACCTAAAAAATTATATCTGAATTTTTTCCTAAAAATATATAGAACTTGTATCTTCTCTTTCTCTTTTTTCTTTATTCCTCTCCTTTCTCTTTTTCTCTTTCTCCTCATTATAAAATCATTTTTGCTTTAGATAGAGATAGAGAGAAAAGAGAAAAATAAAGAGAAAAAAAGAAGAAAGGATTTATAATGAAAAATGTGAATAAATAATGTGAATAATGAAATATTGTGAATAAAAAAATATCAACAACACTAAATCATAATGTTGTGAAAACGATATCTTAGAAAACAAGTATAAATTGTTTCTCTATGATAAAAAAAACGCACAAGGATAGAAAATATAGAAAAACAAGAAGAACACAAAAATTGTTTATTAACTGCTATTCTTTACTTTCACTTAGAACAAGATTACAAGTACACAAGAATAACAAATAACTCTCTCACGCTAAATTAAGATTTTCTGTCTGTAATGATGAGATATTAGTATGCTATTTATAATACACCTAACATACTAAATTAATGATTTTTTCGCCACAAATACCCATTACAAGCTAACTTAGGATACAAGCTAACTTAAACAATTGGACATAACAAACAAGCCCAATTCAAAATACTAACAACTCTAACATTTCGACACCCACATACTAGAATACACTTCGACTATAGTATGTAGGTCTTCGACATGAGCATGTGAATATACTTTACGACATGCATAAATCTTGTTGAACCAGAAGCTAGTCTTCGACCCAATAAAGTTCATGTACCTCCAGTACCTTTGAATATCATGAATGCTCCTTGGCCATTTGCAATATGGGGTATTGATATGATCGGAGAAATCAAGCCTACTGCTTCTAACGGACATCACTTCATTCTCGTCGCTATTGACTACTTCATAAAATGGGTTGAAGCAACCTCGTTTGCCTCTATTAGCAAGAATGTGGTCGCTCGGTTCATAAAACATAATCTTATTTGCCAGTATGACATCCCCAAGAGAATCATCACAGACAATGGTACCAACCTCAACAACACTATGATCACTGAACTCTGCACGCAGTTCAAGATCAAGCACCACAACTCTTCTCCGTATCGACCAAAGATGAATGGTGCAATAGAAGTCGCCAACAAGAATATTAAAAAGATCATACAGAAGATGGTTGTGACTTAAAAAAACCGGTATGAGATGTTACCATTTGCTCTTCATGGCTATCGCACTTCAGTACGAACATAAACTGGGGCAACCCCATTCTCTCTGGTCTATGGTATGGAAGTTGTCCTACCTGTCGAAGTTCATATTCCATCTCTGGGAATTATGAAAGATGGAGACTTAGATGAAGACGAGTTGATTCAGACTAGGCTAGACCAGTCGAATCTGATTGACGAAAAGAGGCTTGCGGTTGTTTGTCACAATCAGATGTATCAAAAACGTATGATCAAGGCATTCAACAAGAAAATAAGTATCAGGTATATCAGGCTGGTGATTTGGTAATAAAGCGCATCATTCTACCGCAAGGTGATCCCAGGGGAAAATGGACTCCCACCTACGAAGGACCATTTGTTGTCAAGAAAGTATTTTAGGGCGGTGCTATGATATTGACCACCATGGACGGTGAAGATTTCCCGCACCCTATGAATGCGGACATAGTCAAAAGATACTACGCATGAAAACGACCCGCTAGGTTGACTGGCCTAGGAAAAAATAAGGGCATCCCGGCGAACCAAAAAGGGTTCGGGCAAAAATTAGGGATATATATAAAAGATTGTACACCTGGCAAGTCGAAAACCTGAAAAGGCGGCTTGGAAAAAAAAGGGTATCCTGGTGGACTGAAAACCCGAAAGGGCGGTCCAGGAAAAAAATTAAGGATTAAAGCGTACAACTATGTCCCGTTAGATCACTTACAACAATCTTTATTACCAAAGTCAAAAGTTCAAATGGTACAGATCAGTTCAATCAACTTCTTCCGATAGCAAGGGATGAGATGTTCGACGACATATGGGCAATAGCGGAGTTAGAACCCAACAAGATCATTTCCACATAGCTATATATTTTATTTTCACTTTGCACTCTTTTCATTTTATGACAATTTCCTCTTACTAGGATTTATGTCTCTTTGTACAAAATTGTCTGTTTATAGGCAAACAATCAATACAAATACACCTTAAAATTCAAAATTTTGTTTTTTTAATCTTTCTGTTTTATTTACAAAAACATCAAATGACTAAAATTGAATGAACATATGCATATGAACACTATTAACTGTTAACAAATATATGCATAAGAAGAGGAATAAGCATTTACTCAAGACCCTAGGAGTTGGGATAACGTCCAAGCCGTTCACAAATCTCCACAGAGCCACTTCCATGAGATTATCTCCACAAAGTAATCTTCACAAATTCATCTTCAATAAAGATACATTCCCCACAATTTCCCCGACAGATCGCTCTGACGGATAAGAGAATATGATCTTTTTCCCGGAAATATCACCCACCTACAGAGTTCCATTTGGTTCAGTTCATGGAAGTTCTCTTCCCCAGCCGAGTTTATTACTCCAAAACTGTAAAAATCCCTGCAGATTTCTGCTCTCCAACATAGCTCATTTCCTCACCAAGGGTGTTTCCTCAGTAGAGTATTTCTCCATCAACAGGGTTTATTTCCCCACCAGGGTTTATTTCCCCAATAGATTATAGCCTCCCCAACTTGAGTCTATTCCTCAGATTGCTATGAATCACCAACAAAATTCCTCTCTCCAGTGAAGTCGCCACTATCCCTAGAGAGTCTCTACGAAACCTGGAATCGGACCAGATATCAATCAACTTTATCCTCCCCAGGTGAGTCGGAAGGTTATCCATCTCTTTTATCCCCAGTCAGGGTATATAAGAATTAAAATCCCCAGACGAGTAGGAAGGTTATCCATCTTTTTTATCCCCAGTCAGAGTTTATAAGAATTAAACTCCCTAGACAAGTCAGAAGGTTATCCATCTATTTTATCCCCAGGGTATACAAGAATTAAACTCCTCAGTAGAGCGATGAATGACTACTGTTCCTAAACTCTTCTCCCCAAACATAAGTCAACACTTCCTAGCGGAATTTCCTCAAAAAGCAAGCATGAATCCCCAACAG